TTAAACATTGTGGACTACGTCCTCATAAATACAAGTTTTTCACTGATAAAACACTAAAGTGTCAACAAAAGCTTTTGTGAGCTCTGTTATCTGGTGACAGTTTGACCTCAATTCTAAATTAACCTAAAATGAGTAATCAAAGAATTGAGTTCACTCCTCAAAACGTAGTAAATACAAAAATGCACACGCAAAGTCACAAAAGACACTAGGCATACGCGATTCATCACTGCGGACTGTGATCACACAGCAACTCAGGTTTTATTGAGAAAACTCTAAAAAGTATCATGGAAATCCTGTGGAGTTTTTTATATAGTGACAATCTAACCAACCTCACTAACTGAGATCAATCTAAGTTGAGTTTAATAAAGACCTGAGTTAACTTCTAGATATAAACATGGATACGAAACTTGTACATACAATCTTCTCAAGATACGTATGATATATAATGTCCTCAATATACAACGCACTTGTAATTTGAAAAGAGAACTATTTTAGATGATATGGATGTACATAACATGAAAGATTAGAAAGATCTATCATTGCATCATACTTTCACTCAAAGATAGATCTTGCTGAAGCCTTAGTAGTACTTTACTTGATAGTATTGCCTTGGAAAACTGGAAATAATGGCGGTACGGTCCGTTTGTTTTTTGTAGTATATAGAATTATAGGTATATATATATATATATATATATGATACCTGATCATTGTTACAACTTTTGTTCATGAGTGGATGAGAGTTACCCAGTGATTCAAGACTGTAGAGAATATCAACAAAAGCATATTCTTCGTGTGAACATGCAGTAATATTGGAAATGATCCATCTTGCAGTTTCGGGATTGCCATTTTCTTCAAAATATATTACTAAAAATAATTTATTTTCAATCGGCAAAGATTTTAGAATGATTTAACTTTATGACATACTTCTATCAGAAGACCTTGGTATCAACACCGCTCAAACTAGAACTACCACTCACAATTCGGGATATATTTATTCCATCTTAGTTTAAGGTTCCAAGTCAAGAAGCCAAAGATATTCGGAGAGGTCTGCAGTATATAGCCATGTTATATTCAACACATGTCATATAAGAAAAAAATGGATTTATACCATGCGGCGCTTCTTGTCACCTTCATTGTCGTCAGTTGATGAATCTTCTCTAATAGTCTGCAAGGTAGGATAAAAAGGGCAATATTCGACGTTGATTCAACCAACTTGCTGGAGAACAATTATCGGATATCGAAATGAAATTTCAGTATGAACATAGACGTTGGGAACCAGTGGAGAAAGTCTACGTAGCTCACAGTGAACCTGCATCATCAAACGCGATCCGGTGAGGACACATTGGGGCAGTCTTATCTGGATGCTGACGACGACGCCCATCACGTAAACAACACGGCAGCGAGAAAACACAAGCGCTGCCCGCATTGTCCGGAAAAAAGTGGCGAATGCTCTGTACTTTGCCACATTCTGAGCTCTGGGGCCGGGCCAGTGGGCGTGACGGAGACAACAAAGAAGCTTGGCTGCCGGGAGAGAGTGCTTCCAAGTATCCCAGATCAGCTACCTGGACGGTACGTCCAAGTGAGTCAGCTCCAAATCCATCCACGTGTGTCGTCTTCATTTTTTCTGGCCGTCACTGTCACAAACCTGGTATCAAACCCACCTGTCGCAAATCCATCATCAAGTTTTGTTTGTCATGTCTAGTCCACACCCCATTTTCATTTTGTTTTATTTTATTTTTGTCACATGTTCGCATGTGTGATTCTATTGCTCTAGTTTGTTTACGCCGCTCATATTAGTCAAGGTTTCACTCATGAAACTCATACCCTTGTGTGCGTCATAACCAAATAATTTCACCTTCTGCCAAATTAAACCCTTGGGGAAATAACAAGGAGATTTCAAGTGTTTCACATACTGAGAAAGAGCTACTTACCCACAAAGAGTAGAGAATGAAGGAAAAAGGAGAGTGAGAGACAAAAGAGATACATTTCTCCTAGAAACCAGCGAGATCAGATACTTGGGAAGGCGGTACCAACTCACATGACACAATTTAGCCGGTGGAAAAATATTAATGATCAATTTAAAATAAAATAAAATAAAAGAAAAATTTCAATTTTCTTAGATTATCCTAGAAACAACAACGCTAGCTTTGTGTAAAGTTTAAAAATGCATATATTGATCATTGAAAATTTGCATGATCAATTTTGAAATTATAATTTATTTATAATGATTATATAAAAATATAATGTTAGTATATTTACATATCATTACAAATATTAAATTTTTAATATATATATATATATATACTGATTAAAAATAATATTAGTGATTATATAATATTTAATGAAGGAGAATTCTTTGTTTCACACATGCATTGACTTTTTTTTTAAAAAAGCCATCTGTTTCATGTCCATAGTTGTTCTTGAGATTAGTCCTCGGCAAGGTAACGTAAAATAACTTGTATTGACAGATAAAAGATAATAGTCACGTGTAAAGATGTAAAGATAATCAATGGGTAAGCTAGAGGGTAGTGTAAAGGTAATGACAATTATCTATCCAGAATAATTATCCGTTAACTTGGTGGCTTGGTTTATTATGTCAGTGTAAGAGTTTTATCTACATCTTGTCATGGTGGTCAACCCAAATGAAATCTCTATATGCTCACTATTAGATGGCCATAGATTATCTTAGGACGCCAACGACGTAGACGCTATTTGACCGTGTCAACAACGTAGCAAGTTTACCCGCTCTCGGCAGTTCTTGGTGTCATAAGTGCTCACCATGACCATGTCTCTGCGCTCAAGGACGGGTGCAAAGATCTTCAAGTTGTCGGCAATTCGAGTGGCAATAGCTACGGCAATTGGATTCGTTAAAAAAGAGATTCTCACCGATGAGATTGAAGACGTCATCAACCAGTTGGAGATTGAACAAGACGATTGGTGCGAGGAAGTCCTCGATAACATCGTCGTGCAAATGCTCAACAATCAATTCAATGAAATAGTCTTTGACACCAACTTGAACCAAAGAGTTTTCAAATAATCATTGTGAAAATCGTGTTGGTAATTTGACTTATGTATTTTTTATTCTTGTTGGAGTAATTACATGGTTAACCGTCAAAGTAAAGGTAAAGATATGTGTAAAGCATGCCCATTGTGATAAGAGGAAGGATAAAATAAAAGGTGTAAAAGTATAATTTTCTTCAATAAACATTGCAAAAATTAAAATTCATGTTCCAATAATATTTCAATTAAATAGAATAAGTAATATAAAAATTGATAAAACAGAATATGTTTTTTTTTCCATAAAAAATCATAATTCATAAAACTAGTTTTATCATCAAATAAATAAAGATTAAAGCTAATAATTTGAAGATTATGAAAATATTAGGTGATAGATGTGAATGATTGTCAAGATTGACATAATTGATGAACATATATGAAAATTTTCTTCAATTTAGAGTAACAAAAAATATTATATAAAAAATGTATTAATAGAGTTATGATTGATTTTCATAAAAAACTTGATTGAAAAACAAATGTTTTTAACAAACAAATTATCACAATGTATAAATTGTCATAGATGGATTAACAACAAATACCGTTAATTTATTAAGTTTTAATCATTTTGATATGATCATAGATTCTCTTGTATATTTTAATGTTTTGATAGGATATTCTTCTTTTGTCAAATTCAGAAAAATAGAGTAAAAAAATCAAATAAAGAATAATATCAATAATAATCAATTTTCATATGATTCTTTCAAGTTATAATACTTTTTGTAAAGTAAATAATTAACCTTTAAAATTTTTATTCATTAAGTTTTTTCATGAAGTATTTATGTATATAATATATGATACATTTCAACATTGCCATTTGAAAGATATGTAGTTCTAATAATATTTATGATTTAATACTAAAATTTTTAATGCAATTTGGCTTTAAATCAGAATCCCTTTTGGTTAAATCTCAGTGTCATAGCAATCTTACAGTGAATAGTTATGCATGAGGTCGTGTGATTTAAGGTCATATTTATGCTATTTGTATAAGAGTAGTTATGTGCATAAAGAATTGTGCATGCGAAATTTATTCACCGAATCAAGTATAAATCTATGTTATCTTGAACAATAAAACATATTTGATGTGTTTGGGCTACTTGTGTTGAACCTTTCTAGGGCCGGCCTTTCCAAAACACAAATTTTGCTACCTTTATTAATTTCAGGCATCCAAACCTTGTTACATAGCACAAAGGCAGATTATGGTATTTTAAGACATATATACAAGCTAGATACACATGGAGAGCTACAAACACGCTTACAAAACGTAAGGAAGGAGACAGGAGAAGACAGAGCGAGAGAAAGCAAGAGAGAACCAAAAATTATCTGAAACCAACACTACATTGGAATCCAATGTAGTGTTGGATTCAGATGATTTATGATCCAATGATAGGATCATAAAATTGAGAAGCAATGGATTAAGTTACGGGAGGCAGTTTGGTAGATGGAAGAAAATGACATTTCAAGGGACGGGTTAACCATTTTGGCACTCGGTAGAATTATGAGTGATCGGTAAGAAATGTTTAGCTAGAATAACTTGTGGAGATGTGTCTTGGGGAGTGCTTTTGTATGTAAGGAAACAGATGGTGTACATGTATTGAGACATGTAATCGAAAAGGATCGAAAATTATTTTCAAGAAAATTGCCATAAGTTCGAGGATCTTGAGATATAGAGTTAGATCGAAGTAGAATGGAGAAAGAGAAAAGAGACGAAAGCAAACCTGATAATGTGATGTGATGAACTAGTTAATGTGAAGAGTTATGGAGGGGTCAAAGCAAGTACCGCATTTGGTAGTCGGGAGATACGTCACGAGGAAAGACGAGGCAAATCGATTTATTTAGAGCGAAGGAGGTTTGTCGGGTTCTGAGGTGACAGGTAATTGGAGAGCAGAAAGCGCGCCGGAGTGGGAAAAAAAGCACACATATGTCTTAAGCTGCACACCACATCTGCCACATCGATTCTGTCCGCATTGGCGAAGGGCGGAGAAGGGCAGAGCAGAGGAAAAGGGAAGACACGCGGATCGACACCGGGACGAGGACTGAGCGAGTCCAGTCGAGACGAGACGCAAGGGCAAGGGCAAGGGCAAGGGAGGAAGGGAGACGAGAGGCGAGAAGAGTGCGGTGCTGGTGCAAGAACACAGAAGTGCCGTTTGCTCGTACACTGCACCGAACGAGCGAACGGAACCCTGACAATCGAAGACAAAGGAGCGAGGGAAGGGTTTGATGATGCGAGGTGCAGGTGGAGGTGGAAGAGGAGGAGGAGTGAAGAAGTAGAGAGGAAAGAGAGGCTCACTCGCGCGGAAGAAGCAGAGAGGGCTAGAGACGGAGGTTTCTCGTTGAGTGGAGAGGAGTGGAGTGGAGTGGGGAGAGAGATTTGCTGATCTCGAGGGAGGGAGGAGAACGCAGATTGGGATACGAGGAGACGAGAACGAGCATGAGGAGGACGAGAGTGGCAAGGGTGTGGATTGGAGGAATTGGATGTGATTGTCAAAGTGGCGGATGCTGCTGCATCTCTTGAGTTGATCGCGGAGAGTAGCCGGGTTTCTTGGTAGCTTGTAGCGGGAAATTGGCTCCGGTGTTTGGTGCCGCTCTCAGTCTTGAGGACGTGAGGAGGAGGAGGAGGAGGAGGAGGAGGAGATATGCGCCAGCGGAGGATACCCTCGGCGTCAATTGTCAAGTTGAAATTTCAGGAAATCCGAGCATCGCAATACGATATCGAGGATTTCTGCTTGTTGAAAAGCTTGGACTATCGCTTTCGAATGCCAGGTATGCCCTCCGAAGGTGCGACGCTTGTCAAATTGCGGGCATGCATAGATTTTTTGCATTTAGCCTTCGAGGGTGAGTACGTATGTATCGGTTGAATGTTGTTTCATTGTCTTCAGGTTCTGCCCGCGTACTCATCGAAACTATGCACTCACTTCAAATCTATCGCAGGATTTGGAGAATCGGTCGACGCATGAGGGGTTGCCTTGCGAGAGGATTGGTTCTAGTCAACTAAGTTTCGCCACTCCACTTTAGGTCGCTCCGTAGAATGAAACGACCAACGGATCATCGTGTGAGTTTTATCCTCTCTCAGTTGTGAGTTATCATAATCATGGAGGGTCACGAGGCTGGATGGGAAGGTGTGCAGAGGCAAGGGCAAGTCATAGGTGACTTTCTGAATGCGTTCGGTCAGGGTTTAGGCGGAATGTTCCACGATCATATGAGACCCGCGACAGCTCAAATTTCCAGAGTTTACTGTGACGGACAATCTGCCTCACGGTGGTCTTGGCCGTGGCCGAACGCGAGGAACTTAGGGATAAACAGCAGTCCTGCGAGATTGAAACATGATAAGAAAACGTGGCAACCTGTGCCCAAGAGGATGATCTCGACGCCTGATTTTGCCATTCATACCATCGGAACTCGAGTCGGGCAGGCCGGTGCTGAGATAGGAGCATGCTTGGAGCAGACACAAAACCTGGCAATTCATGCTCTTGGAAGCCGAGTTGGGCAAGCAGGGGCCGAGTTAGGCGCATGCTTGGAGCAAACACAACTCTTTGCGATGAACACAGTGGGGAGTCGAGTAGGGCAGGCGGGAGCAGATTTGGGAGCATGTCTGGAGCAGCTCGCAGGAAACGTTTTGCAACATCTACCTTGGCCGTTTTATCGCACTCCCAGCTTAACCCTGAGTATGTCCGGGCCGTCTTCTTACACAGGATCCGTGGACTGCGTTCGGCCAGCCATCGCTGATTCGTCGAAAGTGGAAGGAGGCAGTGCAGAACGCAACTTTTTGTGGGTCTCATCAACATCAACCTCCAGCTCGAAGTCTCCCAAGTATGCGAACGGTCCGAACGGGCAGTTATCCCATACCACAGACGACGAGCTGGATTCTATAATTTCGGGAAGTCCGCTCCACAAACGGAGCAGTGTGGTCGTGACAACCACTTATGACAGCCAGACCCAGGAAATTGAGAGTTCCCTAGTGGCTAGAGGTGACCTCTGGCGAGTGGAGGCGTCTCACGGGGGGCCTTCGACGCCTGGTAGTGGTAACGCCCCGCTTTTTCTTCTCCAGCTTGGGCCGGTTCTGTTCGTGAGGGATACAACAATCCTAGTTCCCGTGCACCTCTCCAAGCAGCATCTTTTGTGGTATGGGTTTGATAGGAAGAACGGATTGCACTCTCTCTGTCCTGCTGTGTGGTCAAAGCACCGGAGATGGCTGTCAATGTCGATGATCTCGCTCAATCCCATTTCTTGCTCATTTTTGGATCTGCAGTTTCCAAATGGTCAGTTGACGTATGTAGCAGGAGAGGGTGTGACCGGCAGCGCTTTCTTGCCTGCTTTTGGGGGTCTTCTGCAAGCTCAGGGCAGGCTTCCGGGCAATACAAAGATCAGTTACTTCTACAAGAATATGTGGGGGACACGGTTTTCTCCGGGTATTCAGCTCCCTGATAAGTCAGTTTCTTTGGGAATCTTGCAACCATTGGCCTGGCAACGAGTGGGTCTGATGCTTCGTCCCGCTATTCAGATGAGTCTGACCCCAACCTGGGGAGGCCGTGATACGGGATGCAAAGCAGAGGTGATATATTCACCTCAGGAGAAACTGAGCTGGGGTTGCGGTTGTTCCATGACAAATGAACCTCGTGCCTTCGCAAATGTATCTCTGGGAAGGTCTAAGAGCAACGGAGAGCATACCGGAAGGTCTGGGCTAGTTTTCCAGGTCGAAGCACCAGTTGAAAATGTTAGAAGGGCTTCATTCACCGTCCAGCTGAATAGTGGTGTGGAGTTCTGAGGCTTAAGGGTGGCTTGTACAGATTATCTTCCCAGCCGAATAGCCTTGTAGTATAATGGTCTGCATTACCTAGAATAGACACGGTTGTGAGTATCCTCTTGCTCTGTGTCAGTATCCTCTACTGCTAACGACGATATCGAGTGCAGTCCACTGAATGGAATTGACATGCCACCTTCTCATGTCCTTCCCTTCATGAATCTGTGCTCACCCACCTTTTAGTTTATGTCAATGTAGATTTGTTACCCTTAGTCCTACAGAAACCTGCTTACGCATGTGGCTACAGTCTGTTTGTTTTTGAAGCACGGAGGAGTAAACCTCCACCCCCACCACTGCATAGAAGATACGTGATTGATGATACTTCAGGTTCTCCGAGTTTGGACTCGGGTGTGACAAACCCAAAAGCTTATTTCGTTAAAGGGAAACATCAGTGAATTTACTATCCGGTTTGGAGCCAATGGCTTGGCCTAGATATATGCCTCTCAATATTTTCAAAGGTCTTGATTTGAATCTTGATGTCTTGGAACGAGAGCCTCTTTGAGATGTAAGTATGCCTGCAAGGAATCTAGGGTCTGACCTCGCGTGAAAATTCGGTGACCAACCGCTTAGAAGTCTAGCCAACACCAGTGGCTGGACACAGAACACGTCAGTTCCACGATCAGGACTCCATTGATCCAGCGATCTAGAGTACTCATTTCTACACTTTACGGATTGTGGACGAGGTTGCATTATGTCCCGTTTTGTTATTAAGTCTCTCTGAAGGAAGTGTGTCCAATGCAAAACCAATTCACAACCTTTTCTCGCAATTGATCTTTATCGCACAGCGTCTCGAAACCAGTTTTAATGTCTGGGCACTCGTTTCATCGTCTTTACATCGCAACCTATCCACGTCAATGACCACCTTAAACACACCACTCATTGATGGATTCCGTTTCCAAAGACGGGATTAGAAGCCAACAAGCTTTCTAGTCTGCCGCTTGCTTGTCGTTCGCATGGGCGTCCATCAGTGATCACCGTGGCCATGACTGTCCGGAGACTTTGATCACTTGCGTTGTCTCGTTATGGACTGAGCCAGTACACGAGACTGTGAAAATGACTCACAGAAATCGAAATGCTGGTCCAATGTCATAACGTCACCAGGCGTCGTAACATGTACATGGAGATGGCGGTAGAGCACAATGGAAGGCATGATCTGGCATAGTTGATGTTTTTGCAGTTGAAGGCCCACACTGAGCGCGAGAACCCTGCCCTGTAGACAATTGAAGTCCAAGCCAGGGACAGGCGAGGCTCGGTCGAGAGTCGTGGAAGATCTCGAAACTCTGGAGGACGAGGTATGAGACGTATATGCTACGCTATGTTGCGCTATGCGTAGAAACAATGAGAGCTCGTTCACTTGATACCGATGAGGACTGCACTGCGGAATCTCGATGAAGACTGTACAAGGCATCTCGAACCTCCCTCAGACATTGATGTTGGATATGAAGTGCAGTGGGCTAGAATATCCTTCTCGTTTGTGCGCGGCGATGCGCCATATTCCAAGGTCCGGTGACAGAATCTGCGGGTACTGCTGCGGAACGATGAACAAGGATGTCGTTGCAATCCGGCCTGCGATTGACACAAATGTCGAGAACGAAAAGTCTCTTCTACGTTCGGTGCATGTGGTTCAGCTGGTTGGTCGGTCCGACCGTCTCGGCTTGCACCTTTGCAGTTTTGACGATCATTCCACGGCATTCGACACATTATGTTCGACATGGATATACCTTCAACGCTCGATCATTCTTTGACATGATTCGCACCGAGTGTCATTGTACACGCGCTCGCACTGTGCATTCGACACCAAATGCTCATGTGGCCTGAAATTCATCCCAGGGGCCGGTGAGAACTTCGGCCAGCGCAAGCGGGCGAGTTCGACTGGAGACGAGTGATCAGAGCATTAAGAACGGACTGCTCTCGCGAAACCTTCAGCGTTGTCTCCTCACCGAAGCTTAAACTAAAGTAAATTTATGACATGAGGAGAAGCAGTCCACTACCTGCGAGCGATATGCACATTTCGAACACACTGACTGCAACGGAAAATGTGGTGTGGATTAGGCACCGAGTCAATGGAGCTCGACTGCTTCTTGTCTAAGACGAGCCTGAGTGCACAATTCCATTCCAACAGCAACTGTGACGAGAAAGCCTTGGCGATCGGGAGTGGGGTCTCGATTGGTCCTGGAGGCAGACGTACATAGGCGATAAAAAAGGCGACAATTTGCACAGTGAGTATTGGCCTCACGGCGAGAACGTGAGGTGTTGTGGCTCGGATGTGTTCCTGGGAGAAGCGGTCGGTCAGTCAGAAGCCAAGATGCAGGCAGATCTTGCCTTAAGCCATGTGAAACTAGTCGATTCTCCCCTGTGAAACACAACTGCTCAGGCAAAGCAAGCAAACATGACTCTCGTGCTAACCGTCGTGCTCATCATTGATCGATCGAGCAGAACGGGGAAGTTGAGGGAGGGAGGCTTCCACCCCAAGCGTGGACTTGGTCCTGCATCCCGTAAGCGCTGCCATGATCTGGGGTGCGCGTGAAAATTCTCCATCTTCGGATTCCATATTTCTCTCCAGAGAAAAGGCTCGAGTCATCATCAAAAGCCAAGCTTTGATCGGCCCGGGAGCAAACAGCGCGAGAGCCAGGGAGTCAGTCAGTCAGACGACGAGAAGAACGGAGTGCGTGACCGAACAATAGTAAAAAAATTCTGATGAGTTGCCACCTTGCCACTCGTCCCTCCCTCGAGCTATCTATCATCCATCACGTTAGTAGGAAGAGGATGGATGGATGGCCTGAAAGCAAACCCTCGGCGCCAACCCGCACGACGATGAATATCTCGTCGTGGATGATGGCTGGTACGGGAAGCGAAATCCTCGAAACGCTAACAACCCACCAAAACAGAACAAAACAAAACCAAACAAAGCAAAAGCGCTCGTTGCATAAGAGACTCGTGGCCCCCAGAAAGCAAGGCAAGGCAAGGCAAGGCAAGGCAACGAGTCGAGACGAAGATGGCACCGGAAGAATGACACAACAAATCATGGACAGGGCACGCAAACGGGAGTGTATCATGATTCATGAAGGTTCCGTCGAATGTTTATTGTACTGTATAAATCTCCGGCACGTTTACAAAAGCTATTGGACTGCTCGGCACCACATCCGCTAACGCTGGGGGCTGTTGAGACTCGGTGTGTGAAAGCTGGTGGGAGGCCTGAAAGTTCGTCGAATCAAGCAAACGCCCGCTCCTACCCCTGATATGCTCCGAAACTCTGGTGATTACTCTGAACGTGTTTGTGTGTGTGTGTGTTTGTGTGGGTGGGACTGTGACTGTGACTGTGAACGTGAACGTTTCCGCGTATGTAGCTAACTAACTAGTGTTGGGAAATGTCAGATCACGAGTGCTGGATGAAGAGCTAAGCTGCAATCCGTCCGTCGTAGTAGAGGAAGTCGATTCAAAAAATGAGAACGGGCTAAGCTAGTGGCTTGATCCTGACTACGGAAGAAGTTTTATGCGCGCGGCAGTTGTTGTTGTTGTTGTTGTTGTTGATAGACACGACAAAATACATACGTAAACGCTACGTAATTCCAGCCTAGGTAGGTCCGCTACAAGTGTTGGTGTTGTTACAGTGCTAAGTGAGGTGAAGAAGGGCGACGTCTGCGTGCCCAAAGAATTGGTTGATGAGTACCGAAAATCAGCAAGGTTCTGATCCAGTCAATGGAATGGAATGAAATCGCATGAAAAGAATCGGATCGAGCGTGGCAGGACGGCGTTCCGTGCAGGCTCCACCGCCGGCGATGGAGTTTTCTTACTTACAACGGAGCGGGCGCACTTCTCTACCGTTTTATCTGAGCTCGATCGTTATGCATACAAAAAATCGGTCGCGCTAGAGGAGGGTCACAGCAGCAACAGCAGCAGCGGCAGAGCCAGCGCCAGCGCCATCCCCAGCGCCAGCGACCCCGAGCGCGCGGCCGCGCTGGTGGGGAAGTAGGTGGGCATGGCGCACTCGTCGCCGTTGAACCAGACCTTCTGCGGGAAGCCGTCGCCGCCGACCACGTCGATGCCGGGCGTGAGGCGCTTGTCGAAGGACATGAGCGACTGGACCTTGCCGGGGACGAGGCCCTTGTCGAGGCCCATGAGGAAGTTGTTGTAGCCCTCCTTGCCCTGCAGGAAGATGAGCGTGTTGTTCTTCTGCGTCACCGGGTCCAGGTCCTTAACGGTGCTGCCGTTGAAGCTGTAGGTGTCCAGGTAGCCCGGCATGACCGTCTTGTTGAGCTGCACGGCCACGAACCACTGCGGCATGACCTCGGTCTCCCAGTTGAAGAGCGTGAGGCGCGTGCTGAACCCGTTGGTGTAGTCCGAGTACACGTGCCAGTTGATGGCCACGCCGCAGTTGTCCGGGCAGGGCTTGGGCGTGGGCACGGGCCAGCGCTCGATGATGGCCAGGTCCAGCGCCAGCCGGGTGCGGTTCGACGGGGGCAGCAGCAGCCCGTACGTGGGCAGCAGCATGGGGTCGATGTTCGGGTTGCACTTGGGGTTGGGCGGCCGCGTCAGCGGGCCGCAGCCGCCGCAGGCGCAGGTCGGGCACGGGATGACGCTGGTGTTGTAGAAGCCCGAGAAGGAGACGCAGCACTTGCGCGGCGCCTTGGGCGCCAGAACGGTCTTGTTGCACGTGACCTGCCAGGTCCGCGCCGCCGACATGGTGTGCAGGCCCGGCCCGGGGAACTGCGTGGGCTCGACGAGTCGCGCGCCGCCGCACTTGTACTCCTCGCCGGGCTTGTTCAGCTCGGTGATGTGCCAGCCGCCCGGCGGGTCGATGATGTCGCGCCCGACCTGCGTGCGGCCCTTCATGACGGTCATGGTGAAGACGGACTTGGTGGCCTTGGGGTCGATGGCCGCCGGCAGCAGCGACCCGTTGCGGCAGCAGCCCGGCGGGTTGGCCGGGTTGAAGGCCGCGCTGCTGTCCAGATCGACGATGCTCGGCGTGCTCTGACAGCTCATCACGGTCGAGAAGTCCATGTCAGGGTAGGCCTCGAAGATGGGCCCCGTCAGGCAGTCCTCCTGCACCTGCTCCAGCGTCTGCGCGCCCTGCATCGAGCTGATGAACTCGTTGAACATCCAGCTCCACGTCAGGTTCCAGTGGTCGATGCGCCCGATGGGGTCGTCCATGTCGATGGTCACCCGCGCCGTGTAGCTGTTGCCGTACGGCGCCAGCACGTCGTAGAAGATGTTGATGTCGCCCACTTGGCGCCGCAGGTAGTTCCTCTCCGTCTCGACCTTGGTCCTGTTCTCCGTGCAGCACACCACCATCGTCACGTCTGCACAATCCACCGTCAGCAATCAAATCAGTCCATCGATCGAGACTCATCACGTCCCTCGTCCAGATGCAAGTGCAATACACGCAGGCGCAAAGACAAAAGCGTCTCGGCCTGACAGTCGGCGAGCCCCCATCCCACCATGATTCCCGAGGAATGAACGAACCAAGGAATGAGGGAGGCAGAGAACGTACTGGTTTCCATCTCGGGTTTGCTACAATTGTAGCCCGGGTTCATGAGAGTCACATTCTTGGGAAGCGGAATCTCGATGGGCTGGCCGGGGCCCACGCCGAATTCGGTTCCTGTGATTTTGAAGTCCACCTGGATGAGGTCCAAATTCTCGGCCGTGTCGATGGAGGTGAGCAGATCGGGGTTGGCCACGCCCACGATGGTGGTGCCGTTGCCCACGAGAGCGCCGGGCACCTTCTCGAGCCCGGACGAAATGATGAGCCCGGGCGCGTCGGCGAGCACTTCGTCGTGCTGGAAACCAATCCACAGCTCCCAGTTCTGCAACTCCTCGTAGCCGGCATTGGTCAGCGTCCCACTGGCATCGAATTTGTAAGGCTGAGTCGCGTTTTTGGGAGAGATGGGGATAATGCGCTCGACGTTCTCGTCGACCGTGTACGTAATAATCACGCCTTCACACGTATACAGATATTGCTGGCTCAGGGGAAGCGCCGAAATGTTGGCCCCGAAGGGCAACACGGCCTCGACTCCCGAGGGCAGCCACAAACTACAAACACAAACTAAGAGCGCGAGTGCGGGCGCCGCCCTGCTCCAGGGTCCCTGTCCTCCTCCGGCTCCTCGAGCCCTCCCCGCGGGCGCCATGGCGCCGGGTCCCAAGAGCGTCGAGCCGGGCGTGGTCGTGTGCGTGGCCCGGAGTCGCAAGGCGGCCACCATCTATCGAGCAAATCAATCTACGAACTCTGGACTCAAAAAGAACGAACGCTGGGGGGCCTGCGTGCGCGCGCTGCGACAATGTGTCTAAAAACCATGGGCTTCGTCGGTTGACCTCATCTCCCACCGAGGAAGATGCTGCTGCTGCTGCCGCGACGCTGTGCCGAGCCGAGCTGAGCTGAGCTGAGCGAAGCCGCGCCAATTTGTGCCTGCCTGCCGAGAGAGACACTGGGCTTTGAAGCGACCCCAATTGCCAGTCTGCGCCCGAGCGGACACAGCGATGGAGGCAGAAGGGATGCTTCTTCACTTTCAGCGTAATGTGCGATCGCATGCCCCCAACTTATTACTGCACTCCCGGGCTCCGACTCGCCATCGCCCCGCATTGTTTTTTGCTCTCGCGCAACGGCCCGGCTGCGTGTGGCCCCGCGCGCCAGCACGATCGCCCCACTCGCCTCAATCACCTCCTGCAAGCATGCCCCACTCCCCCGCAATTGCCAACCAAATCCGCTCCCGGCCTCCACCTCCCTTCACCACCTCTGTCTGACGCGGCGCTGTAGCGCCGCTCATCATCCGCCCCAGCCCAACATATATTCATCCCGGATTCTGCTCCGCGCCTCGACCGCCCGCCGGGTCCGCTCGCCACTGTTCGCCTCGCCTCGCCTCGCCTCGCCTCCCTTCGCCCGCCCGCTCCCAAATTTTGGGACTGCTCCGGGCTTGCGCTCTCGGACGCCATTCTGCGGAGTCCAGCTGGTGCGGCTGCCTCCACACTCGCGCACGTCACACCGCTCTCCCTCCTTCGCTTCTCGTCCGCCCTCGCGCTCTCGCTCTCGCTCGCGGCCTCGGGTCGAGTTGCTCGAATGCCAGCCATCATGCTCCCGAAAGTCGCCGAGGCCCGCGAGGGGCCCTTCTGTTCCGTTCTGTGCTGTTCTGGGACGTGACGGCGGGATCCAGTTCGCGGGCCATTGGTTCGTCAGCCGCTCGGTTCGCTGTCCCTTCCGTCCCGGCAAAGTTGGGCCAAAGCCGTAGAGTCCTAGGCTAGACCTGTGCTCGTGAGCGTGCGGGTCGGTGGGACCCGCCCTCCTTTCTGCCATCGACGTGAAGCAAACCTTCCCCCGTACCCTTCTCTTCTCTTCTCTTCTCTTGAGTTCCCTCGTATGTCAACGAATGTCCGTTAAGCCTCCGCTTTTGCCACGATACTAATTTGGCAAGCGCGGACGGCTGTGTACAGTGCTCTCTGGCAACGGCGGGAGCGGGTAGTAGACATTCGCGAGCGGTGCCCGCTAGGCATGCTCACGGCACGGCTAACGGCTAGCCGGAATGCTGTCCGAGGCCGAAAGCGATCCGAAAACTCGGACCGACTCTGAGTTTTCGGCCGATTATTTCGGCTGATTCATCCGAAATTATACCCCAAATCCTTATTTTGACCAAATATTTCATCCGAAATGCGTTTTCGACCGATACTGTGGGCTAATCGGCTTGCCGGCTAAATTTGAGTCCCTAGCCGGCTAGCCCTTTGTATCGGCTAGCAGGCTAGCCGAAGATTAGCCGGCTACGTGACCATGTCTAGTGCCCGCTGGGTGCCCGCCCGATGCGGCTCGACTGTGTCTGAGTGTGCAGTCAGTTCGCTCCCGAGGCGGAGCGGGTCGGACGGGCAGCGCTGTTCGATGGGTTCGGTTCGTTCATTCTTCTCTCGTGTACTTTACGCATCTCCAGGTTCCACGCTGCCCACTCACGGGAGCGACGTGGCCGGGCAGGGCCGGGCCGGGCCAGACTTAAAAGTTACTCGGCGTTGCTATTGCAGTGTTAGGACACGGCCCTTGGAGGGCGTAGAGCGCTGGAACGGATCTAGCTGATCTCGGTCCCTGTCCATCGGATCTGGCCTCGTCTCGCTGGATATGGGCCGCATACCGACGGTCCGTCGCGCGATGCGAACGGGAACCGGACAGTAGCCGCGGGAGGGCATGCATGATCCAGGGGTGTAAAAACCTCGATTTTTTTCGGAATAATTCCGGGTTAACAAAAAACCTGATTTAAATTATGGTTTTGATTAATTGCATCAGTATCTACTTAGTCAGTTGCTTCCAAGAATTATGATGTCCATAGTTTCCATTTCAATAATTTTTACACTCAAAATCACGTTAGGAACTTATCTCGCTTGCAATTAAAGATTACAGTTGGAGTAGAGTTCTTTAAAACTCGAATTCAAATTAAAAACTAAATTCATGCTAATAAATAATTACGGGTTTTTTAGAAAACCTTTTTAAACCTGATGGCGTTAGCCCTGGCATGATCTGACCATTTCGTGCAGGCCACTTCTAAATGGGGTATCGGACACTATATTGCTCGGTAATCCCTTATTAACGCAAGCCCAGTGCTCTATGATTGACAGGATCTCCAAAACATTCCCGACGATAAAGAAGCGTTATCTCTTCACTCCTTTCTATTTCTCGCCCTTCGAGGGAGGAAGGCCTTGGCGACCGAGTCCCTCCGTCGCAGGTCGGGGACCGTCACGACCGACTGAGGTTCAGCGCGGTCGAAGCCTCGTAGTAGTACTGTACGCAGTACAGAGGCTCACAGGGCGGACATATATGTACTTTCCGTACGGATCCACCACCTCCACCCAGCCACCGACCACATCCCCGCGCCACGTGGCGAGAATCGGTGGCCGTCGCATTGTCTGATCGAAGGCCGGAAACTGGCCCACGGAAGCCAGAACCGAAACATTCTTTTCTGAGCGATGACCCGAACTCGTACTGTGTTAGTTGACGGTTGTAATTCCCATCCCATCCCAGAGAGGACAACCACACGCAGAACCCCTCGGGCATGTCTGTGCTCGGGCTTCTTACAATTCTTACCGGAATGGTGAATCTGCTCTGGGATGAGCATTTCTTAAGAGGGAGGTTACGCCATGATGCATGTCGTACGCTGGAGGAGCTGGGTGACAGTAACGCAATTCCCGTGTGTCATTTCCGACCCCTGCTCCACTGTAGAGCGATTCTGATATCAACAGGGCCCAGAGAGGGCGTTCTCGACTGTTGAGAGGCGGAATATTCGAGCCGGACATTGGGCTCAGCTCGGGCTGCGGGACTTTTGAGGCCCTCCTTTGGTGCCTTCGCGGGGTCTTCCCATCCCTCTCGTAATTTCACTTGGTCCTTTTACTCTCTCATTCGCGGGCTGCGTACATGAGGATTGAATGTATGACGTTGGCTCTGACGTGGCCCGTTGGGAGGGTCCGAAGCTTGCAAGCTCGGGAGGAGAGCTCGATTGGCTGTCTTGCGGAGAGGAGTCCGAGGGTAGCAGTTGGTTTCAATTATTGGCCTCCATGCAGCTACATATAGTTTTCTATAGGAGCGTTCTGCATTAGGGAGCAAGCGCTGGCCCCCAGACAGAATACTGTCGGAAAATGTGGAGGACTAAACCCTATTAAGCGCCCACCGGGCCTCGAGCTAGCTAGCATGCAACAAATTGCCAGTTTATCACAAACCCCTGCGAGACCACTTTCTTTAATCTGGACACGACTCCTTGCAGGCGGGATGGATCGAAAGTACTCTAATTTAAAGAGCCTGTGTTCACGAGCACGATACATGTTCTGCTGACACTCGCTTATGCGTGTTCGGATAAACGCTGTCATATGAACTCGTCGACAATTCAAAGCTTTCGTGATGCGAGAATGGTCTGATGAACTGTCCAGGACCATTGCTGGTAAGCCGTCTACTGTGAGGTTTTCCGATCCACCTGCTCATATTCTGTCTGCAGTGTCCCATTACAGGGATCTGGCTCACAATTATGCTGGAAATTATTTCGGACCATACGAGAGCATACTTCTATTTTGATTCTGCCGATCCAGAAGGCAGAATCATCGTCATGAGTTCCTCTCGAATCTAATCGAGAGAACCTGTTGCGATTCAACTCTTGACGATATTAAATTGTTTTGTGTTAAAGTTTCAGCCTCTCACTGGATTGCGATCTTGACCGCATAGAGTCAGAGAGACCGTTAGGCGTTCCACCAGTCAAGGCAGCCACCTTTCAACATTTAAGATCCTTCCTATGTATTTTGATTCCGTGGATACATCAATGCCAGCTCTGTAAGAAGCTGACACGGGCGAGAATGTTTTCTGTTTTGCCATTTATTCTTTTTTGAACGACCAGCCCCAGTTATTCAAACCAGTATAAATGGAAAACCCAGGTTATTACCAGAACCCCGTTATTTCAGACTTGTGAATGCGCGCAAGTGTGCGTGTCTTCGGCGCTTGATATCCTCACAGTGACTTGCGTACCTCTTGCCTACGTTCGCCTTCTACTCTCTGTTTCTTGCCTACGTTCGCCTGCTACTCTCTGTGTCTTACCTACGTTCCCTTCTACTCTCTGTATCCTTCGGCGACAGATGAAAGCTCGTCAGCGATGTCGTTGATTTGAGATTCTATTTTAGTAAATTGTATTTTATATAAATGGTCAATTCGGCTTCCGCAATTATTTTTCCTTGAACCCGTTCTTGTAATGTCGCTGAAGACGTTGATCAGTCCCTGTAGCTACTATCTCGTGAAGAGTTGATAGCAGTAACTGTTTCTGCTTCTGTGCAGTGTTGCTATGAGTTGTCAAATAGTTTAAAAAATCTTCCACAATCGTGTATTCCGTTAAGAGATTGAGATAATTTCGATCCACGTTACTTAACATACTTGCACGCAGATAATGTTCGTTGGTTCGAATTGTTTTCAGATGATTAAATTTCTTCAGTGGTTTTCCATGACAAGATCATCCTTTTCCTTTTATCAGGTCTCGTGCATTAATCGCCACTACAGGTTTCTTCCACCAGGAAGCAACATGCGTTTACTAGATTCGACTCTTCAGAGTGTTATAATAGGTTGGCAGTGCATTGGTGGGACTACACTGGTTCGTCTGAACTGTACTTGATGGAGGCAGAAATAGAAGTTCTTGCCTGTCGAGTCCTAACACCTGAATCCCAAAAAAATGAAAACAATCACAAAGAAGCATTTTAAGCCGATGTGGAGAACACACGACCAAATTTGCACAATATACACTGAAAAGTAAAATTCTGATGTATTTGTTACATGGTAATGAAAACTTCAAATTCCTAAAAGACAACAGTTTATCCGAGGCAAAATAGGACTACTGACATCTTCATACCAACGAAGTATGATATTTCTCCTATAAGTTAGAAAGCTCCTTAATGGTGCTTACTGGTACTTGGTTTCTAGCGGCCGTCGCAAGAGCTTTATTCTCATCAGCAGATCCACCTTCTAGGAATGCGCCCATCACTTTACCATCTTTGACCCAGTAAGCGCCAAACTTTGCATTAACTTTGTCGGCTCCTTTCGCACCCCACACGACAGCATCCCCAACATTGTCTCCATAAAATTGCCATGACAAGCTGAAAGCCCTCGAATAGAAGTAAGGAAGATAGTCGTATTCTTCAACTGAAGTTCCTGCTTCCGCTGCTTTGATGGTCTGTCAGATAGCAAATTTGGTCAGGGACTTGGACGCTTGCAGGAGGACTACTAAGCTACTACGGAAGACGAAAATAAGCTACGAGGATTTTTCCCAGCGCGTCATGACTTTCAAAGCAAGAATCTAGGCATTTACAAATCGATGCCCCTGGAGAATTTCAATGAAGTTGGAAGAAACAGAGCAAAAATTTCTGATAGAAATGAGCTAATGTGTACAGTCCCATGTCAGTTGGGTAGAGCAGGGTAAAAGACTTGGATGCTTTCGCATAGACACTACTGACGACAAAAAAATCAAGAAATGCACTGGTTTTCCCTAACATGCATATGACCTTTCAAGCCAAAACCTCCCTAAGATCCAGAAGAATAATGACGACAAATGGGTTCACTGAGGATGGGAAGAAGAAGAGAGGAGGTGAGAATGACCTCATGTTAAGGAGTAAGCACTCAGCGAAGAAAGATAGATAAATATATACCTGAACGGCCTGAATTGCAGATTTTCGAGCATGGTCGACATGCTCAACTCTTCTCAATTCGTTGTATAGCTTCAAAGGAAAGGTAGCCACATCTCCCACGGCATATACATTTTCAGCACTTGTCTTGAAGAAGCCATCAACCTGAGGATGTGTACAGGTCATATTAACCTTGAGCAGTAGTCTACAACGAAAGCGTGACAGTAAACAAAAACTCAAACACATCATCACTAAGTAAACGACAGTACCTTGAAGCCGCCCTTTTCCACAGTCAACTGATCTTTGAATAGCCCGATGTTGGGTCTAGCACCGACACCCACGATGACAATGTCTGCTGGCAATTCACGTCCATCCTTCAGCTTCACCACTTTCACCTGACAGCACGAACAAACGGGCAAAGTATTGTTGAGGGTAGTGTGAGATGACATTGATACAGTGAGATCACATTTAGTGAAACGTAAGATGGAACAGTGTCCTTTTTCGTACAACGTGATTCTCTACGATATCAGTCACTGACAACGCAAATAAAATGCTTAGGATGACTTATGCTTTAGGCCCACGGTGTCTCACAAGTTGATCTGTACTTATAAACCGTAGCCAACACTGACGTCCGTAATGCGGCCTTTCTTAACCACCCACCTGCATTGACTAACGACTCAGCCCGACACGCAAAACAGTTCTCACCTCTCCGTGCTCATTGCTCTCGAATCCTGAAGCGACAGTTCCCTTCACAATCTCGATTCCCTTCTCTTTATAATATCCTTCATAGAAAGCTGCAATCTCACTGACGAAAAGGCGAGGCACTGCAAGCAAAGAGATCAGATATTCAGCATTCTCATTTGATTCCCTTCCTACACCACCAAAGCAAGAATGCCAGACATGTTGATATTCTGTGAACGTTTTCTTTTGACAAAGCCATTAGCAACAAATCACAAAAGCTTAGAACAGTGAGGTTCAAGATGATGCGTTTGCACCTAGAGCAAAACTACCTACTCAATAAACCTCTTGATACATACACCTAGTTGTGTCTCTGGCAACAGAAATAACAGACTTCAACAGATATTTCATCTTTTGTAAGAGGGAACAATCCAGGAAAAGGAATGAAGATGAGCGCACGTTCAAAACTTCACAAGATTCGAACTTACTGCAAAATGGTTCTGGATACACCATTGTAACTTTCATCTTGTTCATGTTCAAAACTGCAGCGAGTTCCAAGCCGATGTATCCACCTCCTACACACACAGCATTTCCATTTGGATTTGCCTTGATAGCCTCGTAAAGAGCAGTAGCATCCTCGACCTCTCTCAAATGATAGATGCCTTTAGCATCCGCTCCTGGAGTTCCAAAATCAGAGAGCTTGATGAACTGCAATATTTCAGAACGTAATCGTGAGTTGCCCGCCGGGAAAACAATGGACAAAGTCCAACATGAAGGTGAGATCATAAAGTCGATTATGGAAATCAACTACTTGATGGCAAAACTCTTCTTGCCTCAAAATTGGCGAAATTAGAGAAAAGTAGCTGAGCTGGGTCCAAAATAAGGCCAAGTGCAAGGTCCCTCAAAATAATGGAGACTCCCTTACCGTGGCACCAGTAGCGATGATCAATGCTCCATACTTGTATAGATCCCCAGAAGCAGTTTTCAAACTCTTCTGCGCAACACTTGCTTCTACCACCTCCGTATCAAGAACAAGGTCGATTCCTGCATTCAGAGTCAACACCAACACACCCAGAAAAAATATCATATACCATTTAAGTTGAAACTTATGCATGAAGCAGGAGTAGTTTCCCACGCGTGTGAACATCCATTGATTGGGAAGGCTGAATTTGCAAGTTTTTCATCATTTAAATTGATCGGGAGCCAAGTGGATAACAAAAAAAGATGCGCGACGTCATAGTGACTTAAAGCATTGAACGATCTAAAGTGACAGGCCGCGTGTTCACAAAATACTAACCTTTCTCACTATACCATTGTGGAGTTTGCCTCTCGCCACCACTCCCGACGCACGTGTGAAATCCAGGTAGCCTAGCAGGAGCTGAAATTGAAGGGCCAAGATGTGAGAAAGAGTTTAAAGCCTGTTGATGCATTTAATCAATATATAATGCATCCCTGATTACAGCTTTTAAATCAGATTCCACAAAACTGCAGGGTATTACCGAACTTAACATGTGCAAGACGTCTGAACAGATGTCAAGTATACATGTGCGCATAAAGTAGGCAACCTCGCATGGACGCTAAAAACCTTTGCATTCTTATGTTTCAGGAGTCTCAACGGCAACTGCAGGTAGAGCAGGGACTTACATTCCGGGAATAGATAGGCTTTACTCAGAGCTGGTCGTTCATATGGCGCAGCCTACGCAGGAATATCATTTCTTTAGTCTTTCTGCCTTAGTCTAGACGAGTACTAGTGGATCTACATTTCTTAGATCGGAAGAGTTCTCATAGTCATACATCGCAGCTTGATGAAAACAACCATCCATCGTCGATAAATGTACGGTGAACATGGCGGGAAAAAACTGAAGAGAGGAAATCTGACGCGTATACGACCTACAAAGAATTGCAAAGAATGCAGTGCACAAAACTCTGTATCATATCTGAGATATACAAAGACAGTACCGGTTCTTTGCTAATAATCGCCAACTCTCCAGCCTGCAAACCTTGTTGAACAAATTCGCGCGCGGCATATCCCTGGGGCAAGAATGAATGAAGGATGAATCAAATATTTGCAAAACATGTACAACGACGAGGAACGATTCTCATCGGATTGTAATTACCAAGGTAGATAGATTGCACAGACTGATGATAATTCCAAGTTGCACACTACGATTGAATATACTCATACTTTGACGACCAAGGCCCTGAAAAAGGTGAGGGTTGTAGCACTTGTGGCTTGGCTTCAGTCAAAAGGAACAATTCTCGGATGCAGATATTAAGGAACGATGGGCTAACTAAACCACACACAGCATGCTAACGTTGGCACAGAATCTTGGAAGCTGGTGCGAACACATGGTGTAATTCGAAACGTTAGGAACATCTTAGGCTGAACAACATTCCGTGTCTTGAGATTCATAACCCTACTGAAATCCACTCCAGCTACAATATTTTCCCCTTAACTGAGCTGCTTCCCACACCCAACAAGACAGCAGCCCTACACTGCAATAGGTATGAGCACATAGTGTAAGCTACGTGTCCTTTTCTTTTTCAAACGCCATAATAGCTGAAAAATTTTACGATCGGCAGACATTATGCACTAATTATACAGCTCTCAGGGGTTATATTACAGTTATATTGAACTATTGCAGCAATCAGGGCATTGAATACAAATAACATTCATAAGCTTCACTGGTACGATTTGCTGTAGATCCACTGGCTGACACAGCGAACAGTTCTTCAAATTGGAAGAAACGGAATAGAGAAACAAACCAGCATCATGACGTTCGAAGATTTCTTTAAACGCCATGGTGCTGGTTTTTTTCTCTATTCCGTTGAAACAATAGCATCCTTTCCACATCCTAATCAAGCACAAACACGACCGCATAGTTTCTTGGACAGTGAACTACAAACTCCTACTCCAGCGCGAACACTTACAGCGGCTACGCCTCCACCGAGGATGATGTACTTGTAGCTCTTCTCAGCCATGGCGCTGAACGGATCCGATCTCCTTGACGAGAGAGAAGACGCAGAGCAGAAATCGAAAGACGAGTGGCGGATCTTCGGAGCTTTTTCCTCGCAGAAATGACTGACTGACGATGCTGCTGCGGTCGAGCGTTCATTCAAACACAGGCAACGTCGGAGGCTCGAGCGATATATCTCCGGGCGCCAGCCCCGTCACCAGCCAGCGAACACTGCACTCGGACACGCCAGGCCTCCACGCGGCTCGCTGGTCGAGTTAGCCTTAACTCAACCCAGGTTTCTTCCTTTCTCCATAAGACGGACGTGGACACCGTCTGCTGCTTTTGCCGACGTGGCAGCTCCGGAGGTGCTTGCGGCTGAGCCGAGGGGGCCTCCGTCTTCCTCTCGTATGCCGAGAGGTTCTTACCGGAGCAAAGATTTTTTATTCGAACCTGATTATTTAATTATTGCAGTGCCTTTTGTTGCATCCTTTCGAGACACGAACACATGGTCTTGGAGAAGACACAGGGCGGCCCTACCGCTCGCTTTTTCTAGTAGGTGAAGTTCGGACTCGCTCAGGACACTTCCTGGAGACTTTCGCAGCGAGTTTGCCGGCCTTCGTAACCCACCAATGACCGACCGCCCTGATCTTGTGGCTGGGACCCGGAAGCCGCTCGGAATAAAAGCGGATTGCAGAAACCATCATCAGAATCAAGGAAGGAAGGCAGACCAGGACCAATGAAATCCCGAGCTCGATGGTCAGGGGGGAGATGATAGGGCTACTCCTGTCAGAACAAGATTGTTGTCCGGTGGCATCGGACGAGATTTCAGCATTCAGCGAACGGGTTTCCAAAGGATGAGTTCACCAACTCCATTACAATCCTCACAACAGGATAATCTTTGTTCTTTTTAATTTCCCTCCTATATAAAAATCGACGAATTTTTTGAGTTCAGTGAACAAATGTTAGAATTCGGAATCTTGACTGGGTAAAACGAATAACATCAATTTAGAAACATTTTTTAACCTCCATTCTACAGCAGATCGGGCTCCGTTGGAAGATTTATACTCTGATAAGGAGTGATAAATATGTAGTTAAAGGGGAACAAGTCGAAGGAGTAAAGGGTGAGTTAGCTCCAATAGCCATCACAGCCGGCAACATGTCTAGTGGTTCATCGATTTTTAAATTATTTTCAAATAGGCATTTTAAAATGCATTTTAAAACAGGCTACCAATTGTGAGTCATTTTTAATGTTTTTTATTTTATTTTATTTTATTTTATTTTAAAACACCGCAGGCCGGCGAGGCTGCGCATGGTCTAAGCAAGTGAGCGCAATCCCAAACTCCTTGTTGTCGACTTACTCCTGCTGCTTTCACAATTCATGGGTTGCTTTCAAAAAGGGACCCAGCAAGTGCGGTGCGTGGCAAAATGAACCACAAAATCAACAATCAAGCAGCAGCGCTTGCGCCTCGGACAAGACAAATGCGAGAAGCGAGTCGCTATCGCGTACAACTCGGCGAAATACTCAAGCAAGTGCTGACCACAAAACGTAACGATCGGTACAGCGTGATGTTGGCAGCGAATGAGCTGGCGGACGAGGTTATGGGACTGGAAATTGAGAAGGAAGAAGATATTGTTGATGATGAGGAAGCTCAGCAGGATGAATTTTGGCTTGTGGACGATCTAGACATCATTCTGAACTAGTACGTGGACGACGAGGAGTGCGAAGAGATGATCCTTGATGAGAGGAACGTTTTCAACTGATTTTGAAAAATATTTTTAAAAATTATAGAATTCATTTTAAAATGCGACCATCGATTTCCAGAATAAAAAGTGCATCACTAAACATGTCCCATCTATCTAAGATTTACAGGTAGGCTTTTATAGTAAGAATCTCCAATTTGTATCACTTGTTTTGATTTGGGAATCGATTTCTCGCCTAAGTCATTATTGGAACAAATTGTCCGCTTCACAAATCACCATATAGCAAAAACTTAAGACATTTGGTTTTGCACTTTATCTTGATTTCTCTGTTTGGCTAGCTTTATAACTTTGAGGGTTTGTGATCATAGATTAATACAAGATATCTAGTGTCCAATACCATCTAGAAACTTTTGTACAAAACACTCCGTGATGAGTAAATTTTGAAGTTATCATAGGTTGAATTCGAAAGCCCAAGTTAAATAATATGGATGTGGGAAGAACACCACAATAATAGTTATGATCCTCGACCGAGTGGAAAGGAAGAACCTATAGAACGTAGAAGATATAATGAAATTTTGAAAGTAAATGGAATTGTAGAATAAAAATAAACTATGATACAACTGAGAATTACCAATAATAGATGAAAAGCAATGAAAAGTGTATCAAATGATATAAATTTGCCAAAAATATTCATGAAATCCAAAGCAAAGATGAAGCTCTTCAAAGTTGAAAATTTACTACAATGATCATAGTGAAGAAGAATTTTTAAAATTAAGACAAGAAGTGTTGTTGTTTTATTATATGTTAGTGGTGTGAAAGTCATAGACTATGGAATGGAATAGCATGTAAAATTATTATCAGTAGGTATATTGTATTCAATGAGCTCATATCATTAAAAGAGTTATTAATTTTCTTTTATTGACTGATATTCATTCACTAATGTTGTTGAGAGGACGATTGATCATTATGTGATTTATAATGTGACACAAACAGCGAGTTTGGATACACAAATAACGAGTTTCTGAAGATCAGAAATTGGATGAACAGGTTATTGTTGGTGAATCTCAAGTATCTGCAGTAGACAATAGATATTAACCAGATTTTATCTTCTGGAAGATCATACTATCAAATTAGTACGGATCTTGTAAAATATTAGTTATAGGTTGATTTATCCATTCTTGAAGATCGTTATATTGATACAAAAAATAATGATAGCATTGCATAAATCTTGAAAAGTTCAAGCCTCTATCAATAAGCTTGAATGATGCTATTATTGAGCGTGAAATGCAATTGTTGGTAGATAACAAGACCTATAACCTAGTGAAGCTAACAAGAATTCAAGCTTTGATTGATTGAAAATGGATTCACAAACTGAAAAATAATCTAGAAGATGACAAGAATGTAATTTTTAAAGCAAGATTAGAGATCATGGGTTTCACATAAAAAAAGATGTAAACTACATCAAGTTAACTCAATTATAGCAAAATATGTCACAATTTGACTTGTTTGTGCACTTGTTGCAATATTTAGTCTAATTATAAATCAGATAAATGTGATTACTTCATCTATCTATGAATTTCTAGAGAAAGATATTTACACAATACAATTAGTTGACTTTGAGGAGAAAGATCAAGAGAAGTTTGTTTGTAGATTGCTAATATCATATATTGGTTGAAGGAAACTCCAAAGCAGCAGAATGCAAGATGTGATGATTTCAAAAAAGTAGAAGGATTTTTATCAAGTGTCTAATATGATATCTTTAAGTTTGTTGATCTAGTTTTTTACGTGAATGACATGTTCATTTTGGCAAAGAATCAGTGTGACGTTGACAAGTGCAAGAATCTATTAAAGTCTACATTTAAGATGAAGTATTTGGATATATGCAAGAAAAAAATGAGAAATGGATATTTATATGAATCTTGAAAAAAAAAGACTACCACATAGATTCATTTCAACTTTACTTTTCTAGATTGAAGACATCTTATTACTGTCGTGACGGTTTTTGTGTATCATTGAACGCAACAATAATACACAAAAACCGTCAAATAAGATATAACACAATATCAAAAATAAGATGTCGTCAATCTAAAAAACATCTAATTACTGTTGTGACGGTTTTTCTGTATCATTGTTGCTTTCATAAAACGCGTATTGTCTCTAGTTTAAATTTGACATGCGGTCAATCAAGATGAAACACATATTGACATCAATTGCGTTGCGTCAAGAAGATGAAGCTGACTGATCATCATTGGGCTCAATGAATGAACGAGTGAGGTTTTGTAAGTAGCCATACACACTCCGGAGACATACTCAAAGTTTCTTGCAAAAGAATTATCAAGAACAAAACAAGCTTTTCCTAAGTTTCATTGTGATCAAAAGAACAATTGCGTCATGAGAATGGAGCCGATCGATCATCAATGGACACAATGAATGAGCAAGTAAGATTTTGTAAGTAGAGAAACACACTCCGAAGACATACCCAAAGGCTCTTACATACTCAAAGGTTCTTGCAAAAGAAATATCAAGAACAAAACAAGCTCATTCAAAATTCCATCGCGATCAAAAGTATAGTGGCTGGAAACATAAAAAAGATGTTCTACAGAACCGAAGACTTCAAAGATTAAAAAAATAATGATAGTGAGTTTTGAGAAAATTTTAGATAAAACAAATTGATCAATGATTTGTCAATTTTACTTTTGCTTAGGAGATTGCGCGCGTCAACCAATCATCGACCTGCAAGAATATCCAAGGCGTTGTGACATAGAGTTGCAATGCACAGTTATTGTGCCAAAATATCAAGCACAAATTACCAAACTTGCTTAATTGCAATGCCATCATCGGCGGAAACTTATTAAAAGAATATGAGCGCTTTTGTATTCAACCTCTTATACTGTTAATAATTTTTGTTCATTTTTGCTTTTGGATTCCTAAAACGCGCTTGTTGGTATTGCAAATCAAATAAATGTGACATCTAAAAGCTGTAGAGTTGTGATTTCACACGCATTGCGACGTCATGCCTTAAATCAGATCTTTAGTAAAACAACAAGACTTGATGAAAAAAATGTTGGAAAACAACATAATAATCAAAATAAGATTTACTCTAACACATGCTGAGTTGCGGTGTCAAAAAAAACTTATAATTAATGCAACTAAGAGAGTCTTTAATTCTAGAGCTAATAATGAAATATAATGTTTGAAATGTATTGGACAGTATATCCATTTTTTTATTCTATGGTATCTTCCCGTCCTTCAATTTTATTACTTGGAAGAAAATCTTAAGTTCAAAAGCCCTAATTTAAAGTACATAACTACTAGAAAGTTTAGAGTGACTCCTAACGTTGACTTAGTTTTTTCAATTGTCATGAAAATTTTCAATTTTGATATTAGACTTGGTTTTTAATTTGAGTAAGTTCACTTTTTGAATTGAAAATGCACAAATTTCTTCCTGATTTGTTCTCTACGTTGCATCTTTCACTTTCATGTTGAGCAAGGATGTGTGAATGGCTCTGCAAAATATAGTTTTTTAAGAACTCATGTAT